ACAAATAAAACACCTGGAGCCAATTAGGTTTCCAGAGTCAAGTGAGTCAGACTAATCAGAACACCTAGGGCAAATGTACCAGTTGAGAGGTTGAAAAAGGGCTCCCCTTCTGTTAGCTGACTGATCAAGCAGCTGAGGATAGAAGGTGCTGTGGAGGGTCTGGGAGGAGCAAGTGCAAGTAGGTATCAGGAAGAAGTACTTGCAGTAAGGAAGGTGCTGGGGAGGGCCATGGGGAAGTAGCCCAGCTGCATGGACTGCTATGATCCCTTGATACTGAACATTGGAGGCAGCAGATATTGCAGGGTCCTTGGGCTGGAACGCAGTGTAGAGGGTGGACCCGAGTCTCCCCCCATGCTGACTCCCAATTTCAGCACCAGAGGATGACACACTTCCTTTTTAGTAAAGGGGTTTGTCCTGCCCTGAATTGCTTGGAGGAGCCACAGAGACTGAACTCTATAGTCTTCCCTTTATACCCGTGCTGGCCAATGATGAATGGCTCAACAAACGGCAAGCTGGTGCCCTAGAGCTGTGGTTCTCAACTGGTGGTCCACAGGAACGTTGTCCAAAGTCACACAGCGTGAGCAGGCGCCGCTGTTGGGCTGTCTTACGCTGTGTTCACAAGCATGCGGCGTGTCATCCATAGCGTCACCTAGGACGCAACCGCGTTGTGTTGCCAGTAACTTCCGTCTGAGGTTTTGAGCGTCAGTGTAGCTGCCGCCATCATGCTGAGCGGTTGCTGTGTGATTTGTCCTGTGCTACATGTGCTGTTTTACAGGTGTGGTGTAGTTTGTTTATAATGGCAATGACAGGAAGAAATGTCAAGCACAAGTATTCAGAGGAGTACATCAAATTTGGCTTCGCTTGTTAAGAAAAAGCTTCACTTGTGAAGAAAAAGAAGGCGTGGATTTGCCACAAGTTATTTGTTTCAAAGTCTTGGGGAATGACTCAATGAATCTGGCTGTCACCCCAACTTGTTGCAAAAGGATGAAGATTATTTTGAGCGGCGGTTATCAGGTCTGAAACGACAGCGCCTCGACTCAAGTGCATTCTACAATAAGACAAGCAATGCAGTACACGCTTCCTACATTGTTGCATACCAAGTTGCACAGGCCAAGAAGCCTCATACCATTGTGCTCCCCTGTGCAAAAGAGATGGTGCGGCTTGTTCTTGGCAAGGAAGCTGAATGATCTAGCTGTCTCTAACGACACAGTATTGAGACTGATAAATGAGATCTCTCAGAACATCAGTGAACAAGTTGTGGTGAAATAAAGAAGTCTCCATTGTTTGCCATACAATTGGATGAATCGACTCACGTCGCATTGTGCTCTCACTATTGATGTTTGCACGATACATGGTTGAGGGAGACTTCAAAGACGAGCTTGTTGGGGTGTGGGGGGGGTGTGTGTGTTTTTTTTTTTTTTTGTTAGACTCTTGATACCACCACAAAGGCTCAGGATGTGATGGAAATTGTTAACAAATTTCTTTGAAGTACGTGGTCTGGATTGGGTAAATCTTGTGGGTGTCACCACTGATGGTGCACCTGCCATGCTGGGCTCAAGATCGGGCTTCCAAATGCTGGTTGAAACAGCACGCTCCAATGGTAACCGAAGTTCATTGCTTCATTCATAGGGAAGCTTTGGTGTCAAAAACCAAAATGTTCGTTGTCTGCTCTTTTTTTTTTTTTTTTATCATCATGTCTCTAAAAGGAGGTGGTCCACGAAAATTTTTTGATTGGCCTGGTGGTCCATGGACTGAAACAAGTTGAGAACCACTGCCCTAGAGGGAGCTTCTGTGAGCCTCTGAGGCAAGTAATCCACCTGAAAACACAGGACCTGCTCAGGTGGGAGTTTCACACAAGGTACAACATCTAACCCTCACGCATCACATTTTAGAATCTAATGTGCCTTACTGTATCTTATTCCAGATGGTTAATCCATCCATTGATTAACTTCACTACAAAATTGAGCTCAGGTCTCAAGTAATCCTTGAATCGCCACCTTAAAACTCACATGAGTATACACTGGAGGAGTAGGTCTTAGAAGTTGCTGCAATGGAAGAGTATACTCTGTTGGGGAGGAGACACCCCTCTTAATATCTGGAAAGCATGATTCTCTCTCCACCTTCAGTGAACATGGCATCCTAAGTTGATACGGCCCTTGGTTACCAAGATATGCAGGAATATCCTCCAGTGTAACCACTTCTATTTCTCTGTGCACATGCATTGTTGCCCCTTCATTTCTACTTGTTAAGTTACATTTTTTGTGGAAGTTGGCTTAATAGATAATGACAAGCTTGCGTTTGCCTGTAAATTTTTTTCATCTTTGGGAAAGAATTGATGATCCTGTGCATTCTTTCTTTACAGTAGCATTGGTACCTCCCTGGTCTGGCACCCTCAGGATTTGACTGGACCCAAATGAGGGGATTTGCCAGACCAAGGGAAGTCTCCTGCTGCCTGCCCACCACCCTGCTGCCAGCTCCACTTCATGCCCTGGCCAATCACCCTGGTGCCATGGCCCTCCCAGTCAGGCTGCTGCCAGCCCCGCTGAATAGAGCTCCAAGCTGCTGGCCCTTGTGATGTCTGACTCATGGCCACCGGGGCACTCTGGCCCAGGAACATCCATGGTCTGCTGGACCAGAGTCCCAGTTTAGGGAGGTGCAGTTTGTGTTCAGTGTGGTTGTGGGTGCCTTCAGCCTCCTAAGAGGCTACGGATTTAGTGCTAGAAAGTAAGGACTGCCTCTAATTTTGCATGTGACTTTTAATTCCAGTCGTTTGTAAGACTAGAGGTCTATCCAAGAATACGAACTTAATTGTCTTGCTTGTATCAGTTTATAAATAGTAACTAGTCTACTGCTAGAGGAGCATGCCTGGAAATCCACTTAAGACTGCCTGCAATTCTGGAGCTAAAAGGGCATGGTTCTATGTTCATAGAGCTATTCTGAAGAACTTGGGTTTGAGGGAATATTGCTGTACTGAACTAGATTTTCAGATGAGACCTTGATAAGCTATACAAGAATGTTAACATGATCTTTTCAATAAAGCTGAAACAGTGGATTCTTTAATTCAAGAATATGGACTCCTTTGTCATTAGTGCTTGAGCAATCAAAGGAAAGCTGAAGAAACCAGATGAGGGACGTGGTTAGACATCTGACTAATCAGACTTTTGTACATCTTCCAGACTAGCTTTAGCAAATATTACACCTAGCTTTAAGAGACTTCTGCCTCTTTGTACACTGCACAACTAGAAATCCAGTTTAATGGTCCCATTTCAATTTGACTGCAGATAGCTTGGTGAAGACTGCAGATCAAGATACTTCACCTGCTGTAGGTACCAAACTATCTGCATTGCAACGCTCTGCATGTTCTACACCACTTTCTCAGCCAAACCATTGTACCAAAGAACAAGACTACAGACCTAAATCAACTGGCAGAGACGCTCCTGCAACAGCCTCCCCTGTACCAGGGGCTCCCTTCCTCTGTCCTGTTCACCAGGTACCCCATGTACCAGTTGTACGACCTGCTCATCAACTGCATCCAGGACTGGTCCAGTGGATGCTGGCACAGGGAGTACATCCACAACATCTTCCACTGCTGCAAGCAGGTAATGCTCTTGTACCACTTAACTGCTAGGTGACATTTCAAAGTAACTTATTTGTAGCCTCATCAGAAGCACTGATGGCTTTATGTAATGCTAGGTACAGACTAAGACCTGTGGTGATGGGGAAAATAACTTATTTGTGGCAATTACAAATTCCTTTCAGAAGGCTGACAATCTCTCAAACCAGCTAAACAAGTGTGCCTTACCAATAAAGAGCCTTAATTATATTTCTGACTCCTTAATGAGCCTCCCCCAACTTTGTCTAATCAATAGGTATGATTTCTCTAGGAATGGACTTGTCTCTCGTACAGGGGATATCTACTCCCATCCTTGGCCAGCCTTTTTATCCAACAGCCAGCCATCACCTCTTAAACCCACGCTTGGGAACACCTCTGCAGCTGGCAATGATACAACAGCACCTACAGCGATCAGGTAGGTTAAACAGTATACCTCAAGGTAATCATGGCCTTCTAGAACAGACTAATCTGCACCATAGGAACTCTTTCATACTGGTCTCAGGCCCACTCATTGGCGGGGGAGGGTGCGGGGGGCAGCAGTGATTTGCTGTGGTGGCTTGAGCCCTGGGCCTTTCAAATGACTGCGGGAGTGCTGGGCTGCACATGTCCCCTGCCGCCTCCTCACCA